CTGCACCCTTGTGCCACAGCCACTTCCTTTGCAGCACATTGAGCGGGGTCAGATCTCAATGTGCTGCAGTTCCAGGTGCACATGCAAACATTGAGCCCAGAAGCAATAAACTCTGGTGCAAACTATGCCAGTTTATTGTGTCAAATTAATTTTACATGTAGACCCACCCACTTACAGATACATAATGCTATACAGTTGTGCCACACTTGTATGTTGATGTAGGGTGAAGTATCGGCTTGAAAGCAAGGAAATTCTGAATGCAAGCTGGAACTCCTGATTTTCCGCAGTGACCTGTCACTGTCTATATGTTACAAAACCAGCCGTCTACACTAGAAATGCTGATGGAAGTTTCTTTCCTTGAGTGGTGTCACACATTCTTCACTTGCAACAGATTGCAAATCATTGGACTGTTGTGATATTTTGGAATTAGTAGCTGTTAGGCTGCTGTCACACATTCTCTTGCAATAGCTGCAACTCATTGGAATGTAGTGCCCTGGTAAAGTTAGTACCTGTTAGGAAATAACCCTTGCCTAAACGGGAACAACTTTGCAATGCCACAAGGACATTTAACACGTGCTAACCTGCTTGAACATGCATCTGCTCATGTTTTAACTGCACTTAGTAAGTGTTAAGTTGAATGCGTAACACCGCCCTTTGATACACAGTGCAAAATATTTCTTATTGCATTGTCACAAAATGACGTGTCAGTATTCAGAGCACTGATCATTAACATGGGTTTTTATGCATAAGTCTTGCATGACACATGCTTAGTGTTTCTGCAACCCTCTCAAATACAACTCTCCCAGCAGGAGGCACAAAACCAGTTAACCAACACTATGTCAACTGCATATCACAGAAACTGGGTTTTACTGCTTGGATACTGGGGCCATGGTCCCCAAATTCTGGACAATACTCCATAGAGTTGTTGCTGGTGCTTTGCAGACAGGTGGATGCTCCTTTCTGGTTCCAGAAGATCAACTGCAATAAGACTCCGTTAAAATTTATTCAGTATTTTCCTAAAGCTACTTTTTCATATATAAAATTCCTATAGTTACCACAAGGACATTAAGGTGATACCTGTGGCTTTGTGTGTTGGAAGGAACGGAGGTCAGGGATTAATTTGGGATCTAGAAGGAATGTTTCCCCCAGGTCAGACTGGCAAAGATTCTAGCTGTTTTTGCCTTCCATTGTAGTACGTGACATAGTCCACTTCCTAGGATTCTCTGGACATACCGTAGTGGCAGGGCATTGGCAGTGCCTTCATCTCTCCTCCTCCTCATCTGTGGCTGACTGAGGGGGTCCTTGGTGGTTTCAGTTTTGTGCTGTACTTGGTATGTAAGTGTTTGGAATGGATGATTTTGGAGTAAATGATTGCTTGCAAACTCAGGGAATTGGCCCCTAGAGTTCCCTTCCAGTCCTGCGTTCCTTATTTGTAGGGACCTACCCAACTCACAGTTGCATGTATTTTGCAGAAATCATGAAATTGGGTGATCTCCATGAAATTCATGGGGGAAAAAACTTACTAAAGGTAAAATGCTGGCTCCTCACTGGGAGCCAGCAGTCCTCCTGGCCATGCAGCACACCCCAGGGAACGGCAGAGTGAGGCTGCCAGCACATAGACAAGCAGGCAAGGTGGCTGCCACCCCCACCCCTTGCCACTGATTGGCTGAGAGGCAGCCCCGCCCCTCCACCGATCAGCAGTGAGGGGTGGGGCCCTATG